TTGTATGTTCGTTGTCATGGTATTGAGGATAAAGCCAACGTTTATCTAAATATGAATTTTAAGTACTTGAAATAGGTCAAATTGTATCTAGACCCGCTCTCTCGTCTTAAAGTATTATTCTTAAACTGAAAAAAGAAAGAATAAATCAGTTGTTGATAGCTTACCTCTTACAAGTTGATGTGCATAACGTAAACGCTGACCTAGTAGAGCTACAAAAAAACATCAACAAATATAAATTTAAGAATAGGAATAAAGATGTATTTATGAAGATATATTTCTAGATGATGATCCAGTTTCAGGCTCGAGTATATTTGTTTAATAATGTTCTATAATTTATTAAATACTTTCGAGATAGTTATGTCTTTCTTAATACATTACTTTGTTCATATTTTCAGCTGAAAAAATAAGTTTTACTAAAAATTTCTTGCACAATAATTATGTTTTTCGTTGAATCGATCACAAGTTCATGCAAAACGCATGGACTTATATAAAAACAAAAGTATATCGTTTTATCTCTTTAACTATACCTAGCAAACTAAAATTTATGTCCGGTTAGAGTAGATATCTGATTTTGTCAAAATTTTATGGTATATTTTCACACGTATTTCTACTTGTTTATTTTTGTCATGAGGAAACCAAAATTTAAAATGTAGTTGAATGTGAAAATCATAATATACTCCTTCGAAATATCCCATTAAGAACATTTACATCTACAGCCTGTAATAATTAAATTGTGAGTATAGATTGAAAGAGTATTATAGAACAGTAGACAAAGATCTTTTTTTTTAATGATGTTCCTAAGACTGCAAAGATAAGGTCCAGAAGTGATATTTATGCAGAATCATTTGATATTTGAATGGGTTTTATAAACACTATGGACTACAATAGGGGGAAAACCGGATCACTATATCTCATATAAGCGTTAAGTAGTAAATAAAAGACTAAAGCTTGATACTTGGATAATGCCAATAGCTACTGTAGACACATATTCTATTTTTATAATACGTTAGCTTCGAGTGCAGTTAAAATCTAAATACTTAGAATTGTTCTCCTGTATGCTTTTTTTAATATTTCTATTGTAGTAACATCTGGGGTGATGCAACCAGTAAAGTGTTTCGGGTACGGAGAAAAGTCTATAATTTCATATTCGAGCTCAGTAAATAGTTTTTTCTCATTCATATCTACAGGATTCTATTTATTGTCGCTTCTACAAAATAGGTACCAGTTAGTTAAACTGGTGGAGAGCGATTGAACAAATTTGATCGTCGTTTACATGGATGATTCACGAAAGATGTTTGAGTAGATCATCCATTCATAGATCAAATGTTATAGCGTGGAATAATAAATGAGCTTCTCAATATTATCTAAATAGTTCTGCCAATTTTTAACATTTTTAACTGATTTTTTTTTCAAAAGAGTCAATATTCAACACTTTACACAGCCATATGAACATGTAGGTTATAGAGATAATGACAAAACAGCTCTAGAGATATTACGAAGAACTTTCATGCATAAAATAGAGTTTATTTGTACTGATGTGTTCGTATGTCAAGATATGGACAAATCGAAATAGGTATTTTGCAGAACTTTTTAAACTTTGTCTCACAAATATATTTAAGAATTTTTCTTTAGAAAATTCAAGCGTATAAAACAAACTTGGCTTTTTCAGATTTTGGAAAAAGAAACATATTTTTGTGTCTTAGTCTTTCATGCTTTTAAAGAAACCATGTTATCTCGTCAAGAGATTTTTACAACATGTTTTTATTAGTTTAAACAATACTAAATCATAATATAAAAATCTATCTCAGTTCTAGATAAATGCTTTTTTCCTTTCAATTAGGTTAAAGTAAAAAGACCAAATATGGTACACTCTGACATGTTCTCTAATGAATATATTCTTTGCAATACTTTTTAGATTAATATAATATTTCTTATGTCTGATTAAATAGAGCATATATGATTGTATCAGAAATGGTGTTTACAAGCATTTAAATAGTGACCTATTTGTAAGAGTTTGTTTTTATCTCTTTAATAAGAATTTGTTTTTGACTAAATAAAATTTAATACTGAGTCTTTTGCAAAAAAGTTCAGTCAAAAACGATAAGAATGGATAGAGATATTGAAAAGAACAATGCGAAGTTCATTTATTATTCGACCGTACTCGTTGTTTTTTTTTTGGATGAATGGAATGATTATGTTTTGATTCCAGTCATGATTTCAGAAAACTTATTGTTGATTTCACTTCTGTTTTATTTTTTTGCATCGAAATGACTCAATGAAGTAAATAAAACATACATTACTTAAGTAGCTTTGCACTTCTCCAATATATAATATTGTGTTCATGATAACCATGCAAGTATAAATAATGTTGCTTTCGTTGTATATGTCGCAGTTATTCACCTTTATTACACAGATAATAAGAAATTAGATGTTTACCATGATTCACATGGTTTTTCAATCATATTTACCCTTCTTTCCTCGTACCAATAATTGACAAGCATAGATGGCGCTCGAATTATAAGAAAAACATTCAAGTCAATTTTTCATAGACCATTTATTTGCTTGCCCTTTCTTCATTTTTTTTGATGAGCTTTAATAAGATCATCGACTAGCATGATAGAAGTTGGAACATGGATCAAGTTTAGCTTTTTTTCTTCGATTCGATCAACTCATGTGAATGCAAAGGATACCGTCGGATAAGACTGGAAACATATCACCTCTCCAAAAACTTTTTTGCATATATTGATTACGTTATTTCTAATCATTTTTTGTTCAGTTTAGTATTTCAGTAAAACCTCAGGTGTTTTTTTTAAATTTTTGTATGATTGTAGAGAATGAATTACTCCACGAATTCCATAGTTCGTATTTGATTTAGTTTACATCTTAATAAACAATTCAATGACTTTTGAAAGTCATTGAAGATGAAACTTTTGTACACTTATATGTCACTGATGCTAATTATGTTCTGCCCATTTAGTCCGTCCAGGAAGATTCATCCAATAAGTGCAACTCAAGAATAATGCACGTCATCGTCACAGCAATGATGAAACAGCAAAAGACTGTCGATTGCCAGAGAAAAGAACTCAACCGATATTACTCTTGGCACTTCTTAATTTATCTGTGGTCAATATGAAGAGCGCGCCGATCATTCTAGAGAACTCTGTACTGCCAGAAATAAATTCATATGTAGGGTTCAATAGTAAAGTTGAGATTAGCCCCGAAAATGCTATCATGCTTGTTCAGGGAGAAGTAAACATTCCTTTCATCCAAGTCTTTTATCATATGAGAATTTGTGGATTTTCCATTGACTTTCAGTCTGTGAGTAAGTCATTCGTGCTTATTGTCTCTGGTAAGGTGAAAATAATGAAATATTCGAGCAAAATTCTTCTTTCGTTTTGATCATATACCATTCAATAAAGTGCCAGATAAAAAACTCTAATCGTCACTCTCAATGTAAAAGTTTGGTCATATTACTAATAAGGTTTTTCAGAACTGAAAGTTATTATTCCGTCGTGCTCTTGTGGCGTAAGTGGGAACGCATCCGGCTGTTAACCGGAAGACGGATTGTTCGAACTCATTCAAGAGCTGTAGCCTCTCATTTTTTTTCTGTTTTTCTTATATACATTTATCAAAAAAAAAAAATTTTTTTCAAATAACTCTTTTAAAGAGCGACCCAAAAAGATAATTACATCATACACATTATCGTCTTTTTTTCTTTCTTCAGATGATTCAGCGTTGGAAAAAAAGGACGCAGATGTGATCATGTGATTATCTTATCTTTTTCCTTTTGCGATAGTATTTCATAATTTTGTCTAAATGAAATCATTTTAAAAAAATGAGAACAGTTCCTGGTTGGATTCGAAGAATCCATTCAACAATGATACTCCATGATTAAATTTTATTCGACAATTGATGCTTAAAATTGTTAAGCAATCATGATTGATGAATAAACTTAAAGCATCTATCCTCCAGTTAGAAGCCGGATGCGTTTTCACTTACGCCACAAGAGTACGATCGCATAATTGATTGTATCAAAAAAATCTTTGCAGCATCCACTAAGATAGGAATATGACTTTAAACAAAACAAAATCTAGTCCAGATAAAACTTGTTCTGTTCAATTACGTGAAAGATCATAATCAATCTGAGTTAGTGAACATGCAGTCGTAAAAAGTCAGAAACCTGAAAAAACATTTCGGTTTAACAGAAAAAAAGTGTGGGTATGCATGTACGTGCTGGTTAGTATGGGTGTGGGTTTGGTTGTGATTGGTGTTATGTGGATGGCTGAGTAGGAAACCATTATGCACATTCACACCCAAAGCCACCCCAACTTCTGCACACACAGCAACACGCCGTACACTCGCAAATCCATACTCATATACACATTCACAGAAATATTCACCCACTTGAAATGCAGCTTTTTGACTTTCTCTTTCTACTTATGTACGCCTACATTTGTCTCATATAACAATTATGAATCAAATATTGCTTGATAATATTGATACACGCAAATATGTTTTATTGCCATTATATGCATTGTAAGGAAGAAGATGAGCAGTTCTGCGTATATATGTAATAAAGTCGTTATCGAATAAATTTTTTCCTTTATCAGTAAACTCTATATAAAGACGTGCTTGAAAATTGCTTTTTATTTCAATTGGTATTTTGTCTTAAAAGAATGCTATCAATATTCTTCTTTACTACATTTCTTGTATGTTTGTCGACCACTTTACCATTGGATGAGTTTTTTCCATATGGATCTCAGGTAGATGATTCGGTTGTACCACTAAACGACGATGAAAGTGTAGGGCCTTTTACTCTGCCTCATATACTTCCGTATTTTGACAATAATCACCGTCAAATTTGGGTGGCCAATAATGGTCTTTTTTCGTTTCTCTCAGCAGTTTCAACATTTGTACCGAATCCCTTCCCACTGGCGAATGATCAACGTTTTATAACTGGCTTCTGGTCAGACATCGATACGCGAGGTGTAGTCAATGGCATGGGTAATCGAGTTTATTATCATATTTACAGCGATACATCTCCATCAAGTATTACATCATTAGTGTTCACGAAATCAGGCGATTATGTGCGAAGATTTTTTCCTCAACAACGTTTGTTCGAACCAACAATGGTCATCACAGGCACTTGGTATCGTGTAGGAGCTTACGATCGTCAAACAGATCGATTAAATACATTTCAAATTGTATTAGCTACTGATAGTGATCGAAGTTTTGTTTTTCTCCTTTATCATGATTTGCAATGGGCCGGACCTGCATATACCACTGAACCATACGCCCAAGCAGGTTTCAATGCCGGTGATGGTATTGCTTTCGAAATGCTTCCGTATTCGCGTACCAAGGACATAGTGCGCCTGGTGAATGAAAGCAATGTTAATGTACCTGGTCTATTTGTTTTCCGTGTAGACACAGACGAGATTGATGCTGGTGGCTGTAGCATTAACGCATCTGTTGTTACTCTGCGCCCGCGCATCAGCTCACAACTAGGGTCTACGGCACTGAATATTCAAGGACCATGCTTCAGCAATTTGACCACACTCAGATGTCGGTTTGGTTCATCATCAGAAACCGTCGAGGGTATCGTAATCGATACATTTCGCGCCATATGTTTGACACCCCTTGCTCCCGTACATGGGCCAATACCAGTGAGTTTATCGATTGACAACGGTGTTTCATACATGCCAGTTAGTGTTTTTACATATGCGCCATTGCAATTTGGTTCGGACGATGTCATAATTGACACAGGCAACCAAGATAATCTACTCAATGTTTTACAATATATCGATCTTACGTGGCGTTTTTCTGAATTGTCACGAAATACGTTTCCCAATGGGACTACAATCGAAATAGAACTAGTCGAAGTGAGCCTTAGCAATCGTTCTCAATTACAACAGAAGAATTTACCAATGATATTCGCTCGAGACTTGGCTTTCAATGGTACTTCATTTCGCCTTCTTTTTCCAGAAAGTATTGCCTATGTTACAACATGTTTCATCTGTGTTGTAGCTCGTTTTGAAGCCAAAATATATGCTGGATTGAATACAGGCCTGTTGACTGTACGTAGTCCTACGTCATTTGCATCTGAATCATGCGTCGAATGGTCTCGTCAACAGCCTGAACCATCCGCCTGGAATGGTGGTATTCTCCCTTGCCCAATGACACGAACACAAGCCATTGCAGCTGGTCGCTGTTGTTATGAATCTGACAGTCAATGTTATCGAAGTAATCCAAATTCAAACAATTGTTGGCTTCATCAAGCTCGTTCTGGACATAATGAAAACTCGGCTGTTGAATGTTATGTATCGAAAAGTTCAAATATTCATGGTGCTGGAGCCGAATGTTGTTATGATTTTGAAGGACAATTAATTACGCGCGGTACTGGAGCAGGCACGGATGATCGATATCGATCTTTCGTATTACCAGTACAACATTTTTTTGAAGATACATTACCGTATCTACAATGTTGTATGATAAGTACCGATGTTGAAATGTGTAATATATACATGTATTATCGACCACTACGACGAGGCAGTAATACAATGGGTCAAAGTGGTGGAACATGGGGTGATCCTCATTTTATTACACTAGATGGAACATCTTATACATTTAACGGCTATGGAGAGTATACCTATTTGGCCATTAGTAATGATCAATTGCCACCCGGAGCATTTCAATCTTCGAATCGAGCTCATGTATTTATGTCACAGATTCGTACGATGCCACTTGAATCAAATGATGTTACTGTTACAAGAGGTTTTGCAGCTCGATCATCAGATCCTGAAAGTCAACCAATAAGTATAACTGTTTCTCGTCGTGAAAATCTTATTATGCGTCGTGGTAATGAACTTCTCGAGTTCGAAGACAATATTCATATGCTATTTTTTCTCGAAATGACCATCGAACGAAATCCAATTTATAGTACTATTCTTACATTGTCGTGGACAATAGGTGTGACTGTTCAAATAAAGCTAGTTGAAACGACATCACCATCGGTAGCACTCGTACTCAATGTAGCGGCTTCTATAGCTGATACGTTTCGTGAACGAACATATGGTCTGTTGGGTATCTATGATAATGAACCTAATAATGATCTACGAGCTCAGAATGGAATAGTAGTGAATTCTAATGCTTTGCTCGAACAAATTCACCGACAATTCGGTGTTACTTGGGCTATTGATCCTGATACCTCTTTATTTTACTATGAGTCAGGTCAATCAGCCGAATTTTTCGAAAATCAGAATAGATTATTTGTTCCATCTTTCACCGAACCTATCAATACAGCAGCAGAAGATGCATCTTTTCGACGTACATGCAAAATTGATGCGAATTCTTCATCATCATCATCATGGAATACTGCTCAACGAACATGTTACTATGATATGTCAATAACAAGAGATGAAACATTTGCACAAACATCTTTTGATGCTGGTGATGAAATTTTAGCTATCAAAGCTGATCTACGAAATCCACCTCTCTTTAATGTTGAACTTCCTGTTTCCATGAAATCGAAACATGGTGAACAAATTCATCTGATAATAGACGCTACAAGTAATTATTCCATGAGTGTTATCGTTCTGTCCGCTGATCATTTGCCTCGTGATGCTACATTTAACACACAAACAAAAGTATTTCAGTGGACAGCTATTGAAGGTGAAGACTATGTTCGAATTCGAGCGAAGGATTCAACGTACAATTTAACATCAACACACGACATCGTCTTTCAAGTGAAACAAGCTGATGAAAGTAGTGGCATTCAGTCTGAAATGCAAAGTTCACTCTTTTTCCTTGCTATACTGTTTTGTATGCTTTTTAAATAAGAAAATGAAAGCTCACATAGCTTCAATGGACTATGTCAAAAGTAGAATAAGTCTATTGGGTGATTTCAATAAAAGAGATTCATTTAGATTTTGATATCTTTTGATTTTTGAAGCAAAAAAAAACAATTGTCTCAATGAGTTAATCATCATGATACGTTTCGCTCCTTTGTCAAAAACGAGCGAGAATTCCATTCCAAACACGTATGTAGCACTTTGCTCAGATAAAGCGGAATAAATTAGAAGATATGTTCACACTGAGAAAAATTTTCGTCATGCTCGAAAGATTTTTTTACATTCGTACAATAGTCTCAATTCTCATAACTGCCTCTATTAGAGATTATCTTCAGTTTTCAAACCACTTTATCATTCTTCCAGGCACTTCGTAATTCTCCAATTAAGAATTTCGGGTGATACGAAAGAATAAATCATATAATACAGTTGATATAATTCAATGTAGCCTGTTCCATTTATCAAAATACTCAACTTTCGAGATAGATATACGAACAACACCAAAAGAAGATCCTAATAAGAATGACTATATCGAACAACTTTGATTGATCCTTTGAGCTAATTGTAGATACTACTTGACATAAAACATAGACCTATTCGGGTGTATTTAAAAAATGTTAATGATTGAAATGTTATCATTATCCTTTGCCCTAATAAGCATGTTCCAAAAGTTCTGAAAGGATTGTAAAATTCATCATTCTTGTGTTCAAAAAAAAAATTCTTTGTAACTTTGACAAATTATTATATTTATTGAGTACTAAATAACTCTCAAGTTTTAAGTCTATAGCTTTGATTATGAATGCAAAACTGTTATCTACTATTTTATCAATTTTCTCAATCTTCTTAGTTATTACTTTTAAATAGAAACAACTTTCCGAAATGATAAAACACACAGCAAGTTATCAATGGCCATGTATTGGATTACCATCCTAACCGATTACTAGTTGTAATCGTGCTGGTATTTTATCAATCACTCGTTCACACAATGTAACACTAGATCTTTTTCATTCCTTCTTAGTGTCGTTTTCCAGGGATTCAATATTATTGAATTCTTGCTCTCGTAGTTTTTCTTTTAATGTACTCTGAACGTTTTCTATCGGTCAAATGTTTGCTAGTCTTGCAACACAATTCTCCGATTCAATTCAATAGTTAAAAACATGTTTAACAACATCCAAATCTATCCGTATTCTCTGTTGATAATATTGATTATCCTAAAAAATGGCATCTCGTAAAGGTATGAAGTGTGAGTGAGGATTAGATTACATTCTATTCATCTTTTTCTTCTCGATGAACTCTTGGAACATTCTGCATTTCTTGCTACTAATTGATCTTGAGTTTTTTTCGAAATGAAACATACATTTTTCTAATAACATTGGATTTTTATGATGTATTCAATAACCAAAAACCACAAAAATCATTATGATCCTCTATTTTCAATTAGCTTCGAAATGAGACAAAGTTTAGTAAGGACAAGAACTTAAAGTAAATTCTAGTGATCTTGAAAGTGTCAAAAGATGAATTTATGTAAAGATGATTAGATATTTCGGCAAGATATGCCGATTTGAATAGACGACATAAGTGCCTGATTCGTTTGTTGTTGAGTCGTAACCTGAAGGGCATGTTTCCATTGTCCAATGACCAAGACAACTTCGACCGACCAGAACACGGCACACAAGCATTGCGTGTTTACGATTTTGCGTTGAATCAAACCCAGAGAAAGATGGAAAATAAAATCCATAGCCATATTGTCGACCTGAAACGAGTAAATGGAGTAAATTCTTTTTAAAGAATTTGAAGATTTTACCATGAATACTTTTCAGTTGATCACTAAATCCTTTTCGAAGGATCTGTTGAGCTGTTGATGGTGAACAAGTGAACACAAAAATTCGTTCGCTTTCACTACCGTTGAGCCGAGCGTCAATAGTTTCCTTGTTATTGAGATATTGAGAAAGCCACATTGGATTTTCGACTCTATCGATACTAACAATACGCCGGTTATCCTTTATAAACTCACTAGCTATTTGTCGAAAGTCTTTAGAATTCTTAGTAATAGGTATCAAGAGACTTTCTGACATGGTCCAACCTTCGCCAGAAACACTAGTTAATTGCAAATTAGTTGGATCAGCTTCTTCCTTTCGTCGATCAAACACGTCCCGTGCATTTATGAGAAGCTTCAATGCCGTATCGACAGACATGTTACCTTCAATAGTATTTGCGACTTCTATTTGACCGTTTTGAAACACGAGACATAAGAGTAGCGGATGCAGATCGATAGGTGATGAAGCCACTAATCCCGCTACACTATCGCCCACATGCAAGCGTAGCATAGCCAAGAGCCTGAATAAAGTTCATTTTGTCTTTGAATTTTTCTGACAGAAAAAAAGCCTGAAAAGGTGTTTTAAATACAATTTCCTCACAATTTCGTCTCGCTCACGTAGCAATCGAAATATAGTACGAAACAAAACAATAAAACGGTATATATACTTCTTTAATATAACTCTTACTCAATGGAATATTACATCAGAAGAGCTTTTGGCATTCTCTACCTTATCCATTATTTATTTTGACGTTTTCTCAACCATTTTCTAGCATATATTGCACTTGATTTTTAATGATAATCAAGAACAAAATATCCGTACTTTTCGAACACTTCTTGATCGTCAACAAGTTTTTCGTTGAAATTCTGTCTTCTCGTTCTCGCTTATAAGGAAAATAGGTTCGCTTGTAGTTGAACTCTTCATAATTCCACACGATCGTCTTGTTTAATACACAGAATTACAATTTTGAAACCATTGTTTTCGTGACATAGTAGTATGGACTAAGAGAGTTTGTTCTATTTGTTAATTCCTATGATATTAAAGTTGATATTGTCAGAAATTCGGAAAAAAGGTATGAAAAGGATAAATCAGAAAAATTTATTCTTCACAGAAGGTGCAGCACATAGAACAAGTGAGGGTGTCAGAATATGAAAGTTTTCTTTATTCACGAGCTTTCTTCGCCATTGATACCATGGCAAGGGCCATTTTCAATGGATTGGTCTTGGCTGCTTCCTGATCGAAGATCTGGCCGATGACTGTTGACTTTGCTCATAAACTGACGAATCTCGATCTCCTCTGACATTGAACGATGACAGCAATCATTCTTCTACTTGGTCAATTCGTTCGTCTTTGTATTTGTGTGAAGGGCGATGTGGTAGACTTTGGATTGGTACTCCTCAGAAGTAGTCGCATCCATGGTCTTGCGACTCCGATAGATGACAGAGTCGTTAATGACGAGAAAAGATTTGTCCTTGTTGCTGTTCACGAACGAGAGTGTCAGGTGAGCGGTAGTTATCATAGACAGAAGAAGTTATTGCGTGTCGTCAGAACAAGATCCAACACACGAATGATGAAAAATGAAACTAGGAGAAAGGACCCATGGTGTAATTGTATTATATGGAGAACAGAAAGGGAATGAATGGTGTACGACTGATTCTACGAAAAAAGGAAAGATAGACTGCGAGTGATCATGTTCTTCTACCTCCTTCGTTATGAGAATTCTCAAGATGTTTTATTCCTTCGAGATTTTTTTCGATTTTCTCGTTCTGAATTTTTCTTTTCCTGACTTCTTGACATACCAAGCAAAGTTAGTTACCACCGAGTTCTGCATGGAACGAATGTTTCTAATACAAATGTGTAAATCAAATTTCATATTCTCAGAAGTCTAGATAAGAAGTCAACATTCTATGTCGTTGTAATTGCTTTTGGTCCTATGGATTTTATAATTTCGCGAATATATCTTGTATTCAATGATTTTAATTTCTATCCAATATATTTATGTTTCATTTCGGTATATTTTCCTCAATTTTTCTAAGTTTGACAGATAACAGAAACGACTTCGAAGTTGCTCTTCTTGTAGAAAAAAAAATCAATATTACATGTAAATCACAATTTTATAGCGCACAATTCGATTACTCACCGTTGATAATTGATATCATTGGTTCGATCCCATGCCCAAACGATAAAATTTTCGGCAAGATAAGTTGTGATCTTTTCAGCACATAAAACATGTTCACAAAAGATGTTTGTGGCTATGCTATGATCATGATGCACATAGAGGACTAAAGGGCAAGGCTAGAAAAAACACAAAAGTATTTCAGTTTTTCTACGGATAAACTATGATGAAAAAACTTACAGTGCTTGGATCAAACAAAGAATGAGTGATAGCCTCATCAAGTGAACCCATATAGAGTGCTGGTCCCGGAGTTGAATATCGTTCGGCAAAGACACGTGCAAACTGTTCCATGGCTCTGATTTCATCATTTGATGATCGTTCTTCGCCAACGTATGGTTCTGGCACTAAACAGTCCCATGTCATGAAAATCATCGTGATTTTGATGATTTCGAAAAAAATCAGCGTAAAATCGTGATGAATCGTAATTTCGTAAGAAGGAACGCAGTAATTAAATCAGATTGTATTGTGATTATGATATAAGAAACGATTTTTCGAAATGAATATAAAATTGTAAAACTTCACTTTCTGCTATATGATAACATCTTCTACCGTCATCATCGTATATAGTTCGGTTTTGCGTTTAGAATTTTTGTTTCTTTTATCTTTTTTAGGTTTTTAATTTATTATTAACAAAAAAAAAACGAAGAGAGAAGAATACTTTCTTAGAAAAACTCAATTCAGAAAATTCACTTCTATATATGAACATTTTTTTTCCATATTTTTGAGTGTATTCTCATTTAACTATGAAGAATTGCATACTACATTAGTATTCTTATTACATATTTTGTTCATGGAAAATAATGTCAGCACTATAGTTTTTTACTAAAAATATTTACTAATTTATAGCAGTAATAAGAACTTCTAAATATGATAATGATCGTAGAAATTAAGTTTCTGCGTACAAAATTGCAAAAATGATCGATATGATGAAGATCAAAATAGAATGTAGAATCCTGATTCATCACAAAAATCGTCGAAACAATCGAAAAAAATTAGCGATTTATCGTTTCTATATATCACAACTAATTGATTTTTTTTAGCAATTTTGAAGACATGAAGTCTCTCATTTTCAAAAACACATTTTGAAATTAGGACGAATACATACTTAGACTTTTGTCGCGCCATTCGACAACACATCTATCCGTATCTAGCTGTTAGTTAAGATAATTGAAATTGATCAACAAAACAGTTCGCAAAATTTGCTTACTTCTATGACGTCAGGGCTTGCATCGTCCGTCACCTCCATCAGAACAGATTTACCACGTTGTTTTGCTTTTTTTCTTTTCTTTTTGATTCACAACGAAGGCTATGCGTTATGTTTGTTAGAAAAACGTCAAGTGAATGTAAAAGAAGCGCTTCTTGTTTCTTTTTCTTTTGACTCATGACGAAATTTATGCATCAATGCATTGCTAACTCTCGTAATGAAAAAACATGTGACACCAAAAAAAAAACTTTTTCTTTTTCCGATATTAGCACAGAATAACCTTTCTTTTTTATCGATTTATAGTGATGCTAGCAAATTTATGAAAAAAAAATGCAATAGAAATATATTTAGGAACTATATGAAAAATCTCTACGATAAGTATTCAATTTTATGTTGTTACTTTTTTCGTCATTTTAACTTAACGTTTAAAATTGTACTATTTCAATCGATTTTTAATCAGAAAATAATTAATTGAAATCTGAGCTTTCAAAAAAAAAGTTGTACTGGGGCCTAAATGTTCAAGATTTATTCCAGTGAGATCCATTTTTAGTTCGTAATGTCTAGTCGCTTTTTTGATATAAATAACTAAGTGTTCGAATTGTCAAGGAATTCGAATAAATCCTCATGTTTATGTATACAATAATCATGAGTAAATCTCTTGATTGAGAAATTGGAAAACAAATGCGATTATTTTGTGTTATCGAACGATATTTAATGGTGCATGATGTGTTTTATTTTATTATACCTTCCTTTCAAAATCAATCGTCTTATGAAAAAATAATCGAAAGCTATTAGCAACATTATAGATATGGAAGGATATTGAATTCGAACGTATACCTACCCACACACCCATCCTTTTAGTGTAAAGTTTTTAGGCTAATTTTCGTATCGATCAGTTTTTGCTCGTCCAATTTTGAAAGATGCACTATGTTCATAAAATTTCAATTTTTCCAACATCAATTATTATTCTTGTTCTTGGGCTCATTAGTGTCACATTTTTACGAGTCATTTTACTCAATAGAATCTACTTTCTATTGTACTTTTTCTCTTTAAAAAGTTAAGAATATTAATTGATGCGATAACAATAACATCTTTTCTGTGAATGCAAGCCGAATCGAGTTGAATCGAATCCGAATGAAGGTTTTCTTATTTGTTTCAGTCTCTGGTACGTATACAGTTGCGGATGTGCTCCGAAATATGCTGACACCCATGTCCACACTTACACCTAGACCTACATTACCTCCTAAAATCTTCATCATATAGAATTTTATCTACGAATTTCTAGACATGACATATAGAAATATGTCTCAGACCTATGATAAAGCTTTTCAAGTATTCAATATTAGAATACCCTGATCAAAATCAACATAATTTGATTCATCTGTTGAATTGATGTAAAAGCGAAGAGATCAACACGAGAATAGATATGATGATTTTGAAGTGTATCAATATACATTAAAAATTAGTCTTGCTTGAAACATTCAAGATCGAAACAAAGCTCGGATTTCGTCACCTTCGAAGATATACTAAAGAACAACTGTAAAAATAGGAAAGAAAATGATGAGTTTAAGTGTAAAAATGAAATGAATAATTGATTCGGTTCGTATTGAAATATTGTGATGGCTAACTGCTTCTGTTTTTAATTATCAATTAAATCGATGTGCATCAATGATTCCAATTCGCTACCAGTAAGAGTACTCAATTGATCGAATAAAGCCACTTGAAAGCTCGCTGTCCCATGAACTGATGCATTGAATGTAGCCTGTTCTGCACACACACCCATAACAGCAAAACCGCCAACAGCTGCGACCAAATAATCGTTAGTGACACCAGCAAAGCAAGCCATCAGAGCACTCACTACGCATCCCATACCGACAAGTTGATTGAGACGTTCACAATGATTCTTAATTATCACTACCCGATGTCCATCAGAAACATAGTTCTTTTGACCATTAAGTGCTACAATAGTTTTTCCATTTCTTTTCTGAGCTAATTGACGTACTATCTGACTTGGATCGAGCACGTCAGTAACGGACTCAGCTCCTTGCATATAAGCTGTTGCATTGTAAATGTGTTTAAGCTCGCTCGAATTACCTATCAAAATGGCAATATCGAGAGAATTGAGTAATTGTAGAACAGCTTCCGTATTATAGGTCGTGGCTCCGAATAGAATCGGATCAAATACGATCGGAATCTTCTTGTCGTTGGCACACTGTCCTACAAGTTGCATCCCTTGAATCCATGGTCCAGTTAATGTGCTAGAATCGATTGCAAGCGCATCGGCCAGTGAAACCATGTCTTCGACTTCCTCGACTGCATGTGCCATTAATGACTTGGCACCAATATGGACTGTAGCATTGCCAGTTTGATTCATCATAGCATTGTTCATAATCTGATAAATTATTGGTTTTTTTTGCCGAATCGCATCGAATGTATGCGCCACAGCTTTCTTTAATGACGATACAGGCATCGATGACGTTCTAAAGATAAATAAAATACAAGTGTGTATAATTCATAGGCGCATACTGTTCAGCATGAAGTCAATTTATATTCTGCGTTCAATACCGATTATAGAGGGACATGCTTTGCAAGTTCAAAGACACATAAAATATAACTAGAATTGTCTTCTTTAATATGAATAGAAATCGTTGTGCTCAAATGGACGTGTAAGTATCGGTAACACTCTATACAGATTGCAATACACGTCAAAAATACTGATATTTTCTCTAATCCTCTTCAAATATGCAGAGAACGATTCACGATTTGACGTAGGTTACTTATCATCGGAATAACGATATTTGCACAAGATCATATGCTTATATGTGTCTTGACGACGAAACAAAAAAAGCAGAGGATCAGAAACGAAAGAAGACATTGTCAATACAACAACAGTGATAAAGCACAGATTGCTGTTGGAAGAAATGAAGAAAAAAAGAGGATGCTGAGAAAGAGCGAAAATAAGACTCACGTGAGAATAAATGAATGACGACATCTAATTAGATTTTTGGCGTATATCTTCAACATAAACAGCAGCTTATATCGCTGTTTTCTTACACTAAATATTCCTAAGATATATAACTCAATAATTTTAGTTAATAGTCGATAGAGTTCCATCGTCAAATGTGTAAATATTTTTAACGACGAAAGTGTACACTGTGATGTGTGTTCGTCCTCGACTGTTCAAGTAACATAAGTATAACAAGAAAAATACACGAATTCAGTTACCTGAACCAAATACATGCGTGTTCAAAAACATATACTAGCTCATTTTGAGTTATTTCTGCCGCACAATCTTTACCGTCATATTCTTCTGAAATATCACAAAAACTCCTTTTTGGGCAGTATTGATCCGAAGGTCAATTGCACATTGGCTTACTTTCATCATCACTATCGTTTGATATGTCGTACAAGGTTTAGATAGACAGGCGATCGTAGTCCGGTAGCAAACTACCTCGTGGAAATATATTATGAGTTGAATACATGATTGTTCACAAGGATTCAAAAGTTGAAGACAATCTATCGATGATAATCTGCTTCAAGCCCTTGAAGAATAATTAGTCCATATCAGATTTATATAATACATAGTTAATAACTGTATCAAGTATATGAAAAAAATAGGTTGCCTCATTTTTGTTAAAAAACATTATAATGGAACAACTATTTTTTATTGTGCTAATTCGCAATTTTTGAAGACCGAAAACTTCCTTGTCCAGGTATTGTTCGAATAACAGAAACTGGGTAACCACAAATAATCAGTATGAAGTGCCAGTTATACGTACACAAAATATTTAGTTAATAGCTTCAAACATTAAAAGAATTGCTCCTGGCTCCGTTTTTCTGTCCACTGTGCGCCTCTATAGAAAAATTCAAAATGCTTCAATAAAATCTCTTCGAGATACGAGACTTTCACGATATAGACTTTTTTCCTTGGATAATGTTTACAACATGCATTTTTTTTAAAGCTTCATATCTCGAAGAGACTTTGTTGAAAACTTCAGAATTTTTTTATCGAAGTTAGTCTAGCTGAGTTCCCTATATTCGCAAAGATTCAGATCAAAATTCGATAGCTTAGTTAAATATCAATAGGAACCTAAATGTTTTTAGAGTTTTTATTAAAACACTATGTAGCGTCTATCGACAAAGACAAAATCACCGAAATCAAAAGGAGACAGCTGAACATGTTCCCCAGTAAGAGCTTGCGTTCTTGTAGGCGAAAAAGCAGATTTGTTGACTACTGGATTTTGATGAACTTCAAAGTGGAAATTTTAAAGTTCAAAACTGTGACGTTCAAGAACCGAAAAAATCAAAGAATCTAATAGCATTTTCAGAGGAGTCAAAACTCTAGTATAACCTTTGTTATATCGACATGTCTGTCATGGCCTGTGCGGTTCTGTTTTCTTGCAATGTACATGTTTATGTTCTCTACCTAAAACAAAATGATACATCATAGACGAATCCATCTTTTGAATCGCTCGTGGCTTGTATAAATGAATCATCATTATACTTGCAATTTAGTGAGTTTTATTCAAATGCAAAATATATTTAAACAGAAAAGAAAATACTATTGCCATACATCGCGTATTAGTATTGTACATCTGTGTATTAGCTTTCTTTTTTAACATGGCGAATATTTTGCTGGTAAATAATCATGATCAGTGTTGAAACTCGTCTAGGATTTTGGGATCAATGTTAATGCATCCTGCAAAAAAAAACAACTCATTTCATTTTGAGTACGTCAGAACTCATTTGAAGTTGAAACGCATCGAAATATGATCATGCATATTCAACAAGATTTTTCAATAAGGTTAAATTAATTTTTCTTTATTATTAATATATATTTGAACACGATCTGATGAAAGAAAAACAAATTCATTCAGATACATCTAATTGTATATGTTTGATTTTTATATAGACAAAATCGAATGAATTCAACGAAATCTCCACAATAACAAAAATTTATTAATCAACCGTTTAAGTGATTCTCGAAGATTTTTTCGAAACAAACTGCTCGAACCATAATAGATGTAAAATGCCATACTATG